AAAGCTTGGGGCTGGTCCCACTCAAGGTGTTGCCACACTGTGGGTCACTTTGGGACGGGCCAGGCAGGTGGACTGTACCAGTGCTGGGGCTGTAGGGGGTTCACAGCCTGCACCCCCATCTTACAAGGGTATGGCAGGGGGGAACCCCCCCCCGAAACGGGGGGTGCCAGGGAAGGGCTGGGGTAACCCCAGCAGCAGTGGGGAGAGGCTTTGGAGGACGAGCTGGGGACCAGGAGGGATGTCCCCTTTCACGTGACACTGCAGGCACCCAGACGAGGTGCAGCATCTGCAGCTTGCCCAGAAATGTTGCGGTAGCCTCCCGAGGCTGGCAGCACTGCCCCAGAGAGCTGTGCTTGCCCTGCAGAGGGATTCGCGTGGGGTACACGCCTGACGTGCTGACTGATGCCACCGCGGAGCTCACTGTGGCCCTGCTGCTGGCCGCGTGCCGCCGGCTGCCCGAGGCCGTGGAGGAGGTGAAGAAGTGAGTATCGGCCACTGCCAGATGGAGCAGGGGCTGGCTCCTGAGCAGGGAGCCCCCGGGTATGAGCCCCAAGGCTGCTGCTGCAGACCGAGGTCCCAGCAGGTTCCTGCAGGAGACCACCACAGTCACTTGCAGCAGGAACCTTGGGGACACTGGCTGTGAGATCCTGTCTGTGTCGGGGGCTGGCTGCTGGCAGCAGCGTGCTCTGGCATGCTGGCCCAAACGCTGGTCTGGGCCATGAACAGACCCTAGCCTGCTGCCACCTGACGTCTGTCTCTGTTGCTCTCTCTGCCAGCGGTGGCTGGACAACGTGGAAGCCCTTGTGGATGTGTGGCTACGGTCTGTCTGACAGCACGGTGGGCATCGTAGGTCTGGGGAGAATAGGTAAGTGCAGCTCAGGCGCAGGATTTGTGTGTCTCCAGCGATGGCAGGGTGGTGTCCCTGGTGCTCACTTCTTAAAATCAGTGAGAACAAGGAGAGCTGGGTGGAGCCTCTGTGAACAGTGATCTGGACTTGTCAGGACAAAACCTTAAAGCTTGAAGCATCCAGACGCATCCTTTGCATCTCAGTACTACAGCAGAGGGGATGTCGTCCTCTTGATTCTCAGTTAAATGCTCTGACAAAAGTCCAGGATGACATGCCTGTCACCCGTTCGGTTGTGGACTTTGTCAGCAGGTGGCTTTTCCTTTCCTCACTTTTCACGAGGGTAGCTTCAGGTTTAACGTCCTACAGCTCCCTTTGCACAACTTCACTGTGGCTGGGAGTTTGTTCCTGCCCACATGAGAAGCAGCAGGAGGCATCCGCCCCCTCCCAGCATCTGCCACACTCCAGACTCGGAATCAGCCCAGCAGGAGCCATCCCACCTCCATGACCCTTCAGCAAGCGATGGGCTCTGCTGCTGCCATGCTGTTGGATGCACTGAGCGCGAGCTTGCTGAGTGATGGAGAGCCCGGGCGGATCCTCATGGCAGGTGTCGGTCTCTGTGTGCACGCCTCGTGCAGGTGCTGCACAGCTGTGGGACATCTCTCTCACTCTAGGACAGGCGGTGGCCCGACGCCTGAGGCCGTTTGGGGTCAGGAAGTTTTTATACACCGGCAGCTGCCCGAAGCCAGAGAGTGCTGCGGAGTTTGATGCCGAGTTTGGTAAGAAGGTGGCAGGAGCGGGCCGCCGGTCAGTCATTGCAGGGCAGCACAGAGGTCATGGCTGGGACCGTCATCGTGGGCTGTGGCTGCTGCTGCTTTTGCCTTTTGTCACCCCCGTGTCCCTCGGTGATTTCCAGGGAGTTTCATTCCCACAAGGAATGTAAGGGACGGGGACCATCCCCTGCAGACCATCCCCCATGAGGTGGGTACTGCAGCATCCTCCAGGGAGCAGGGGATGGGCTGTGGCTGAGTGCAGGTCTTCCTTGGCAATAGATGCTCATTGCTGGAAACAAACATCAGCTTTAGCCTCCTGCTGTAAAATGAGTGTCACCATCCAGCCAAGCCCGGGAACATCTCTGAGCTGCCAAATGGGATGTTTCTGTGGCCTGTTAGAGTCCCGAGGCTTGCATCATGTGCTGATTTTTAATCCACAGCCAGCACATGTCCAGTCGGTACTTCTCTGCACAGAGCTATTTGCAGACCTTGTCCTGCTCCTCACAATTTCCTCTCCTCACATCCAGGAGGGAAAGTGGCGCAAGTTGTTATCTGGAGGCACCATACAGAGAGATTTAACGCTGGGATAAACTGCTGTGTTTTGCGGTCTGAAGATGAAACACAAACCAGAGCGTCCTTGGGCCGGATGGCTGAAGCATCACTAGATTCCCCTTTGGCTTGAGTTTAATTCAAAAGTGAAACAAAACACGGCAACAGTGTCTGCAGGCACATACGCGGTTTCTGTTCGGTGTTTGCGGGTCCTTGTGTCTCCGTCTGCAGAGAAGGGTCAGACAGGTCTCCAGAGCAGCACTTGCCAGTGGGCAAATCTCGGGGATGAGTGGGGTGGTGAGCTGAGGTCCCGGGCAGAGCTGTGACCTGTGTCCCTGCTCAGTCCCTCTTGCCAGGCTGGCCAAGGAGTCTGACTTCGTCGTGGTGACGTGCGCGTTGACCCCGGCCACCCAGGGGATGTGCAACAAGGACTTCTTTGGCAGGATGAAGAAGACCGCTGTGTTCATCAACACCAGCAGGTGAATCACACCCCTTGCACGGCCATGGCTGCAGGGGAGGGCCGGGGCGGGGCTTCAGGATGTTCTTCCTTCAGGGTCCAGGCAAGTGCATTCAGCCTTCACAGTGCAGCCACCAGCACCATTTGCCCGGTGCATGGTCTGCTCCCTCCAGACCACGGTCTCTGGGGAACAGGATAGGAGGTGATCAGGGGGCTTCAGCCTCTGTGTGCCCCCCAGGGCCCTGTGTCCCGCTGCAGTGGAGTGAAGGGACGATGAGGTGGGGGGATTGCCCAGGACAGGGCAGTGCCTGCCAGGAGCCTTGCTTTTGGGACAGAGGTGGCTGCAACAGGCATCCAGAAGGGTTCTGACCCCCCGCCCCAGGCAGCCCTGGGGACCTGGGTGCCCCCTCCTAGGCTGTCCCCCCGTGGCCCATGCCGTGGCTGAATGCCCCCAGGACCCACCTCGGCAGCTCCCTTCATGTCTGCCAGGGGGGCCGTGGTGAACCAGGAGGACCTGTACAAAGTGTTGGCCAACGGGGAGATTGCGGCCGCAGGGCTGGACGTCACGACACCGGAGCCACTGCCCACCAATCACCCCCTGCTCTCCCTCAAGAACTGCGGTAAGCGGCCAGCAGGACCCCTGCTCTGCGCCGGGTCCTGCGCCTTGGGTGCCTCATGTGCCCACCGCCGGGACCCGCCAGCTGGTGTGAGGATTCCCCATCCCAGGAGCCTGCCGGTGCAAACAACCCCAAAATGTATCAGGACATGGGGGTCCAGTGCATAGACTGTCGGTAGCCACTGTGCCATGGGGAAGCTGCTAGAGGGGACAACCCCATCAATGTGGTGTAAAACAGGCACAGGAGGTGTTTTAATTCTCCAAAAAGCAGTTGAGATCAGCTAATTTTTTAATACCTTCCTGATGGATTTCCTCTCAATGGGCTGAGGCATGGGGTGAAATTCATGGAGGTGTCTGATGCCAGCACGTGCCTGAATGAGAAACCAAGTCCCTGCTCATGCCCTGCCAAGCTCTGGTGTTCTGTAAGCTGCTGGGCATATATTCTGCCAGAAAAACTTCCCATGAAGCTGGATGCTGTGTCTGTCTAGAGAAATCCCAGCCTTGGGAGCACAGGAACCACTGCAGGGTCTCCAGCTAACCCATCCCATGTGAGCTGGGGCTGGCCGGCACAGGTTCAGCACGTGTGCTCAGAAGAATAGTTCATCTAAGTGCTGGCCTTGTCTTGCCATCCATGTTCCCCAGCAGATGTTGGGAAATCGGACAGCCCTGGGGTGCAGAGGCCAGCGAGTGCTGTGGGATGAGCAGGGGCGTTTTTAGCAGATGCATCCTCCAGACAGCCCGAGGCAGCCTCCCCTGGGGAAGGGGAGCCCGGCAGGCTCAGGCAGCAGTTTTCTGGATAGTAATGGTATCAGGCAGGTGGGAAGGTGCTGTCCCAGGACCATGGCATGTCCTCTCCAGAGGAGGTTGTGTCGGGTGAGAAGGGATGGTTAGAAAGGCTGGCGTGGCCGCTCCTGGGTTCAGCCTCACCGGGCTGCTGGAGCAGAGGCAGGAGCGCCTGCAGCTGGGGCGGGAGCTGAGAGCTGCCGTGCGGGGCGGGTGATGTTTTAGTGCAGGACGTTACCAGCCCTTGGTGTTCTCCTGGCATCCTTGTTTTTCCTGGCTCCTCCTCGGACAGGGAGTGCGTGGGTCAGGCTGGCTGCAGAGCAGGACTGAAGCTGGACAGGCTCTTGAGTCAGAACAGAGACAAACGCAACATGAGGAAGGCAATGCTTTATACCGAGAAAGTAAACATCTGCGATTGTCTGACCCCATCGCCGGGTCTTCCTGAGCCTCCCCTTGCATCATCCAGTGCCTCGGCTGCTGGAGCTACACCCCAGCGTGAGATTTGGTGTGAGCATCTGCACTTGCACAGGCAGAGTCCTGGGCAGCTGTGCAGGCAGCAGCAGGATGTTCTCTCTCCAGGAAGGAGTTTTTTTGGAGTAGGAAAAGTTTGTTCCAAAAAGAAACTATAGAGACAGCCGTGAAAATTTGGAACTACCCATGACTGGGTGTCCATTTCAGAAATACAAGTTCATAGCTTTTGCTGTGATTATCTTTTTGCTAAAAACCATTTTTAATTTGTTTGCTCTGGGTTCCCATGGTAGACAGTGTGAGAATTACAAAAGCAGATGTTTTCTGGAAATACTTGCAGGACTTCAGAGATCTTAGAACTCTGGAACACCAAGCAAAACAAAAATAAATACACATGTATTTATTTTCACAGAAGTGAGGCTTTGATGATTCTGAAACTATTCACAGATTTCAGCCAGAACTGCCAAATAGTTTCAGCAGCTGGAGGAACACGGGATAAGTAGAGGAGGAAGAAGTGTTGACATTACTTTCACAGCAGACAGGGAACCCAGGCTGGTTCTTGGCTTGGGGAGAAAGAACCTGCATGGCCCCACATCCAGGGCAGCAGCACGTTGGTGTTCAGGGTGCTACATTTCCCGTATGTGCTCCCTGTTAGAAAACAGACACTACAGCGCAGGCCTTGGGCAAGCACTCCCCCCCAAATTACTATCAGTAGATAGTAATTTGCCACTCAAGCAGCTTTGGCTCCTTTGCATTGCATGAAAGGTGGATACAAATCCCTGCCCCGATGCTGCAGCATACCGGCTCTGCTCGGCACGGGACGTTTGCTCCACATTTGCCTTTCCAGTGCACCCAGTTTTCAGGCTCTTGCCCCAGTAGGTGTTGGTTCATGCCCATCGGCAAGCAGAACCCCCTCAAGCCATCTGGCAATCAGTGCAGATTGCACTGTGCATTCATCTGCTGCAGGGATGGGGTTTTACATCTGCCACCAACTGTCAGTCAGTGCAGGAAGGTGGGTGCCAAGCCTGAACGCAGAAACAAGGACCCACTCTTAGCTGATTGTCTTTGGCCTGGAGGACTTAAAAAAACCTCTCACCCATTTATAGATGTCTCTTCCAGTCCCCAGGGGCTGATGGTTCTGTTCACGCTCTGTGTCTGGTGTGAGCTCCTGGTGCAGCACGCGGGGAAAACCCCCGAAAGAGGCTGCAGGAGGTCAGCAGAGGTATGGAACGAGCGTGTAACTGTTCTGTCTCCTGCAGTGATCCTGCCGCACATTGGGAGTGCCACCTATGCCACGCGGAGCACCATGGCCGTGCTGGCAGCTGAGAACCTGCTGGCGGGGCTGCGCGGGGACCCCATGCCCCACGAGCTGGTGCTGTGACAGCCAGACCCCACGCTGTGGGCAGCAGGACATGGTGTTGCCCCCCCGGAGACACCATGCACACCAGTCCTGCGCTGCCTCGCCTCTGCCATGGCAGCCAACCGTGCCCGGAACCATTAAAGAGAAGCGGTGAACGTGTCACAGTCGTTTCGTTTGAGAACGGGGTGCCCCTGGCGTGTGGTGGAGCACACGGTGCTGCGGGGAAGCAGGGGACTGCAGGTCCCACAGCCGTGTTGCCAGGAAATATAACTGAACGTCAGTGTGACATTAAGCCACAGTCATTGTGTTATAGCGTGTCTGCACAGAGACGGGTGCTGGGCGGTCACTCCACACAGCTGCACACCCGGTTTCAGTCACATTGTGCGTTTGTACAGTTCTAAATGTTCGGTCTGCTTTGCCACATCCTTCTAACTACAATTGATTTGGTTTTATCTCTTTTTAACTGTAGTTGGTCAGCTCTTTTCTCGCTTCGATTTAACAACACGGTGCTCCTTAAATTTACTGCACATGCTTGGCAAGTGTGAGACTTAATTCAGGAGGGCTGTCTCAACACTTGGAGGTGTGATTTTTAGTGTTATATTAAAATGAGGATGGGTCACTTTTGGACGGTGCTAATCACTAACTTGGCTGAATGCTGCACACATACCCAGGGTGTTCCTGTCTTCAAGGGTAAATCTAACACACCCCAGGTGATTAAAAAGTTTTTCTCAAAAGCCCCAAGGACAGTCATCCTCATCTACACCAAGAGCACGTACTTGTTATGTTTGCTCTAACTTCCCTTGCAAACACTGCACTCAGCAGGTGATGGATGGTGTTTGTCCCAATTCAGAAAACACACAGTGTCAGCACTGTCGTGTATTTTGCTTTCCAGCACGTGTTGTGCCGTGACAGAGCTGCTGCTGCAGCACCAGCCCAGGTCGCAGTGAGAGGCCGGGTGGTTCCGTACGGGAGCTCCCAGCCTGTATCCAGGAGCGGGGAGCAGCAATGGCTCAGTCAGCATGGGGCCACTGCTGCCAGGGAGCTGCTGCAGCTGCTGCCAAGTATGTGTTAAAAGGTCATATTGAACTGATGCCAAGGCATGACAGTTCCGTTCTTCAGGTGTCAAAAGCAAAAAACGCTTGCATGGCTCCCTGGCACCTCCAGCTCTGCCTTTTTTATCTGTCACTAATTCTGGGGATGGCTCTGAAGTGGGTGCAAACAGGAATTCATACTGGGAGATTCTGCAACCCCCCACTGGTTCTGGCCTCAGCTCTGCTCCCCAGTTTGTTTTTTTCCCAGACATTTGCAGTGTAGACCTGAGCAGGTGCCAAGCCTCCAGCTGCCAGGAGTGGCCGGGACAGGCACATTTCAGGGGATTTGGGGATTCCGTCTCTCCTGCAGCGACTGCCCCACTTCTATAACTGTGGGTGGAGCCCACCTCTCCCTCCCAGTCCTCCCCAGCAAGCTTCTGCTCCAGTAGGTGGAACAACCAGTGAGGTGTGCTCCCGGGATTGCTCCCGCACGCTGCTCACCGTGCCAGAACAGAGATGTTGCATGGCAGTGGCAGGAGGAATTCAACAAGTCTAGAGCTTGTCAGAAATCCTGCTCTGAATGCACGTGTGCTGGGTGCGATCCCCGAGCACCTTCCTGCTGTGAGGGTGGAAAGGGTGGAGAAGGACATTTTTTGCAGGAGGCGTACCCATGAGGTGTCTGCAGCAGGATCCTGTGCAGTGAGCGCGGCACTGCAGCATCCCGACGTGCTCCTGAGGACAGGAGCAGCGCGTTCCTCACTTTCTTCAGCAGGGGGCTTGGCTGTGGGCTTGCGAGGGCAATAATGAGGAAGGGCCTCGTGCTTCCTCCCGCAGGGGGGCTACACCTGGCCAGACCCCTCCTGGAGGGCACCAGCGCCCGACACAGCATTACCACACTCCTTCCAGCCATCAGGCTCAGGGCAAGGGCGTGCACTAGGTGGCCGTGCTGCCGGAGGCGGCTGAGCCTGGAGGCAGCGAGCACTGTGCTGCAGCCGGACGGATGGAGAACGGCCACTGGAGGAGCGCCCAGGACAGCACCAGCCACAGCATGCTTGAACTGCGCAATTCACCGTTCGTTATTGTGCAGCACAGGACAGAAAATGCATGGGTCCACACCTCTGAGAGCAGCAGTGTACTGTTTTCTCCAGCTCTCATCCTGTAAAAAGCAGAGCACGGTGCTGCATAATAACACAAAACATTTCTTAAGAGGTGAGAGGGGAGAGCAGCAGCTGGCAGCATCCTGAGTCTGGTGCAGGGAGGGAGCTGAAACACAGAGAAAAGGCTGTGCTCCAGAACTGAATTCATCTAGTACACTCTGTACTTCTCCTTCTGTCACACAAGTGCTCTTCCTGCTGCAGTCTCTGCCTGAATGTCTCTTGATGTTAAATGAACCATACTCCGATAGCGATAATAGCTATGGGAAGATGTTCATTAATTAGCTATTGATGCTGGCTAGTTAAAGGAAGACCTTTGCTTCATGCCTCAGAGAGTATCTGACATGTCTATCAATAGTTTTGACTCACAAGCCTTGCTGATTACTGTATGCCTGCCCATCACAAAGTGCCAGGGAAGTTTCTAATGAGCCCTCTGCTGACCAAGGGAAGGTGTGTGGCTGTGGTGGTGAACGGGAAAGGAGCGGGCTCCTCAGCATCTCACCTGGCTGGAAAGTTTCCAGTTGATGCAACAGAAACCAGACAGATTTACTGTGGTGTGAAAACCTCGTCTGTATTACATAGGCATGAGTCCATTTGCTGGTCTGTTTGATTTTTGAGACCTGTTAGTTTTAACACTAAAGATCCTGGTATTGGTGAAGTTAGTGTAATGCTGAAGGATGCTGACTAAATTTGTGACTCCTAATTATGTGAGAAATAGGTAAGGGTACATGAACGGGTACCTGAGTACCTGTATTAGATGCCCCGAGTATATGAAGAAATAGACATCAGCTCGTACATAAGACTGCCAGAGTGACCAGAGCACATTTCATGTGTTGCATCTTGGAATTTCTTCGAGAAGAGTACCTTCTGCAGTGGTTGATTGTGGTGCCCTGACAGCAACGGAAATCAGCAGTATGCCCTTGCTGAAAAGATTCTGCTTTCTAACAAGACTGAAAAAGCTGTAAATTATAAAATTAATCTTATCTGTCTGCTTAAAGGAACTTGTCAGTGTTTAGTGAAGCCTGAGAGTGGCTGGTTGGAGCTGAACCTGCTGATAGCACAGCAGAGGAAAGCCGTGACGGGTCTCTGTCCGAGGGCAAACACCTCCTAACAAACAGGATTTCTTGCCCAGTAAGTTCTGGATGGGCTCCGTACCAACAATCACCAGTCACAACTGTGCCACCAATGGCTGAAGAGCCATCATGGTGAGCTGCAGCAGCCCCAGGGCAGAGCGGCTGGGCTGGGACTGTGCGTTGTTGCGTCGACGTCTTCCCATGAGGAATTCAGAGAGCAGCAGTGACGGCGGGTTACGCATTCTACAGATGTTGTGTAGATATTTACATAATTTCAGTAACAACCGTGATAACAATCTCTTATGGAGAGTATATTCTACCAGGAACAAAATAGTTACTGAGTAAAGTTCAGGCGTTTACAATTAGTTTTTGCTAAGAGCAAGCACATCTTTACAGGCAGGGATAAAGAGCAATGGTGGCTCTGCGGGTGCTTTCGAGTGGCTGTTCTGGTGGTCGGCTGGCTGACGGTGCTGGTACACACATGGAGCTGGGCACTCGCCTGCGGTGGGAAGTGGCGTTCCACACCAGATGAGAGATTCCTCCATCCACCGCGCTTGCAGCTGGGGGAAGACCCTGAAGCAGGGAGGGAGGGGGCAGAAGAATGCCATCCCGCGGGCAGGCGGAGGGGTCACACTGGCTCTTGCCAGCCAGTTGCAGGGGCCAGCCCCACCACGCCACACATCAGCAGCAAATGCGGTAAAACTGCCACGGAAGCAAGAGCACTTACTGCAGCTCAGCACTCGAAGCACCTACACGATGGCACCAGCATGGTTTAAACAACCATGGCCAGGGCCAGACTGCTCCATGGTGGTGTTGCGGTTGGGTTGTGTTCTACAAGGCTGAGCTACGAGCCGGAGATGCTCGTGGATGGACCCATGGATGGACAGAGCACACAGCACAGCCTCTCTGCAAGCTTCCAATGGGAAACTTTGCCGTAGTCTTTCCAAGACACTTTTCTCTGACAGGAGCAGCGCAGCTTTAAAAGTGATTCCATGGCACGAGCGAACACAAAGCCTCGGCTGAGCACACGCTCCTACACACACAGCTACACAGGTGTGGTGTTGATATACAGCTTCCACCACCTGACAGCTTGCATTAGTTCAGAGTCACTCCCTTTTATGGGAAGCTCCAGACTGAACTTATTTTCATAGGTTATTAAGAAAAATTAAGAGAGCACAATATAGTATTTAAATTACAGGCTGCTGCTTTTATGCCTTTTAAAAATCAATTTAACTACGCTGGTGTCTACTGAAGACATGAATTATGCTATCATGCCATGCAATTCAGTCTCATCAGTACTAATACATTTTATAAGGCAAGTCACCAAACCAGCCTTTGTTAGCTGCCTTGCGCTGCAGACCTGGAAGGTCACTGATGGGTGTTCAAATGTCGTTACCAAAAATAATCACTGTTACCCAGCCATTTACCCTCGCTCCCTGGCCAGCACAAGCACCTGCACAGTCACAAAGTGAACTCACCAAGGAACTGATACAGCCAAAAAAACCCTCAATAATTCCCATGCACAACCAGGGGTGCTCCCTGAATCCCAAGGCTTAATTTAATGTCACCCCCCCCAGAGCAGACAGCTGGCCACAAGACAAACCCCACACTGCGGCACCGCTCGACGGGACCGTGAACCACCCCGAGCCCGACCAGAGCCACGGCAGTGAAGCCCAGCCATGCTCTGTGGGGTCAGCCCAGCTCACAAAGCCTCAATGGGACAACGCAGTCCTTCGAGACTTTGCACTGGCTCAAAAAAGGAC